AAAGAGGCAAGGCAGCAGAGGAGAACCTCTTATACACCGCTCACACTCAACTGCTGGATCATGCCACTGTCTAAACCACCACCTTTTGCAATCAGCACAAGCTCCAATCAGGCCTCCAGAGGAAATCAGCCTTGTACTCCTCTTCCTCTTGAAGGAAGAACAAGGTTTTCTTCCCATAGTACTAACATCAACTTGTGTTTTCTCTATTCAGAGGTACACTAATTCTGGCTACAAACAGATAAATGTTTAGTAACGAGCTCAGAAAGCAGAAGAGAGCCTGAACAGCAATCTCAGGACTTCAGAAACCTCCTAATTTTAAATATAAAAATCAAACAAGCCATGCATATTTATGATGTAAGGTTCCCATTTCAGTTGTTAACAAGGTCTGAGAAACAAGAAAACTCACATAGGAGAGAAATTAAACATGGATAAATACTACAGTTTTGAAAATAAAACTTGCTTTAATACCTTTAAATAACTACAGATTACCTGAACAACCTGATGGAGCTTCGGAGTTAGCTCAGAGGAGGCTGGAGTGGCTGCTTCCTGGAGGCCCCAGCCCAAGGGAATCTTTCTGTGATAGTAAATTTATTCAAATCCCCATTTAGAGCACATTCCTGCAATTCTTCCTGAATTATTCTAACAGGCTGCTTTCCTCTGTTAAACAAAGTAACCCATATCACAAAACAGCACTGTGCAGGGCTTTTTGCTTCGGATGTGATTTTTTGTGTGTTTATCTTTCTTTTTAACCCAAGTCTAACAATCCCATTCATGTATTATTATAGAAAGCTTCCAGGTAGAAGCGATTTTTCATCTTTTCAACTTGTGGAAGATTAACGATTGATCAGAGGGAGATTTTGTTTGTTTAGTGTGGAGTCAATAGCAATTTCTCAGCTGAACAATTCATTTCTGAAGCTGGCTCTTACCACTCCAATTAAGTCTCCTCGTCCATATTCACCAGTCAGGTGTTTCTTTCCATCATCCATCCGTATGACTGAGCGGAGTCGACCGTTCAACACAATGTACGTGCAGTCGGACTTGTCACCCTGCCTGCAGAAAGGATAATCAATAATGAGGATTAGTGAAGCATCTTTGCTCAGCAAATGCATCTAAAAGCTTTTAATAGGTTGATCATCTTTCCCTCCGTGGCTTAGAGGGCATAAGAAAACGTTTAATCAACAGTTAAACACAAGCAGCAAACAAGAAACTGAACAGGCATCTGTTAAAAGGTGACTTGGAGGTATGTTTAATGTTTAAATGTTCACACTTTGCACAGGTGGTTAATGTCAGGTGTGGAAGCAGATGGCCTGGGTACAAGTGGGCTCTAGGGGAGACCACAGGCTCGTCACCGCTTCCAGCAGGAGCTGCTTGTCACTGCAATGGCGATACGGACACAGAGAGGTTCTGCAGGTCAGAGAGAAAAATGCCCGAGTGGCTCAGGATCTGGATTCCTTTTGGTGCACACATCTTCATCTGTCAGGAAGTTTTTGCTCTATTAAGTTTGCATGACTGCGAGTGCTGTCTGCTTTGCAGATTTCCAGCATTACACAATTATTACAAAACCTCTGGCAGCGGAGGTAAAACCAACGCAAGGAATTCTGAAAGATGTTAACAAGATATTGACAGCTATGACTGCTTTGATACACAAAGTAATTCAAGACTTCCATTACTATTAGTGCTGCTCATAGAGTTAAAAACACTAAAATTCCATTTATTTAGTACTAAATTAGACATTTATTCTCCCATCACTGCAGCAACTGTATAATAACTCAAATGCCTCCTAGTACAAAACCCATAAAACTAAGTCTTCCTAAGGATAACTTCTGCCCCTTAAACATAAAGTGCAGTGCTTATTTTCAATTTAGTGTTGAATAAGCCTAAGTGAATTACCTTTGAGTTTTGCTGTTTATTTTAGAAAGGCTGAAATACTCTGTGCAATAGACATTCATGATCTGAAGAATGCAGAAACCACCACCAGAACATACAGTTGTCTATGACTTAATAGATTAAGTCACTTTAAAAGCTTGCCAAGAGAACATAAAGGATGAGAAACAGCATGGAAGAATTTTAGTAACACCTGGAGACAGGAGACCAGAGCGATGCTGAAGGGTACTGCAGTAAAAAAATTATCTCAGAATAAGCAAACAGATAAAACTGATGGAAAAATTGATACATTGAGTGCAATTTGGGTTTTATTCTGCATGTCACCTAGGGAGCACAGACCCTTAACTCTGAAAACTTAAATATTCAACAGACAACATACAATCTTGTCCACATCTCACCTGTAAACAGCTCGTCCAGCCTCGACCTCCATCCAGTCCAGGGCAAAGTCAATTTGCCTAACGAACGGAGACATTCTCTTTACAACAGTGTGGGCCACACCGAGAACAACGCTTGGCTGCTCTCGCATTATCCTGGAAGAATTTAAAAAAGTGTTATTTAAGTACTTCCCCAGAACAGGAACAGGCACACACAGGCACAGCACCTCAGTGCAGCTGGGCAGTTCCACAGGCACGGATGCAGACGTTGGTACATACCCACATACACACACCACTATCACCACAGCCACGCTACATCAGTGATAATTTGGCAAAATACGGGACTGGCCAACCTGTCCAAATGGCCTGACCCAAATTAAATGTCACTCAAAGTCAGCACTGTCCTAGGAGCAGGACTATGCTGGAGGGATGCTCGCTAGTCCTGCTGCCTGGCCCAATTCCCTTCATTATGTGAGCAGCCACGCTGGCTCTTTCTTAGAAGCCACTCTCCCACCCTCCCCTACACCCAGGCCTCTTATGACTCAGGGAAACGTTCGCACTGTCCAGAGGATTATCCCTCCCTGCTGTTCTGCACCTCAGTCTCTCACACGTGCACATGTACTCAGTTTCCTCTAGATCTTATTGCAGGTGAGAACGCTGGTATATTGTGAAGTCTGATGCTCTTGAAAATATAGACCTACTCTGCATTTCAAATGCTCCCTTTTCCCTGTTGCAAAGACCACAAAGAACTGAAACAGCTCCTAACAAAGCTTCTGATCTTCACACTGAATCTTTTGAGTGATTCTGAAAGTGTCCAGTAGTGAAGACACCATGCAATTCAATACCTCTCCTAAACCGAAAAGCTTCAAGAATGTTCTGCCAGCGATAGCTGCAAACTCGACACTGACTGCAGGGCCCAAGGGAAACTGCGCTCTCAGACCCATCGTAACTGTGTATGAATGTCTTATTTCTCATCCTTTTTAGTCTAAAGATCACTGCATTCTGTTACCTTGTGAGTAAGCACTCCAATTTTAACTGCAGCCCTACTCCACAGCAGTGAGCTGATCACGCTCACGTAGCTGGTGCCCCTGCTACAGCATCTTCTCTTTTCTGTTCCTGCACAGCACCAAGAGCAATTGATGGCAGACCATCGAAAAGTAGTTATTTCACAAGAGGCAGCCCAATTCAGAAAGAAGTAGGTAAGTGTACGCAGACTTGGTACATGAAGTGCGCACAGAGAGAGATGAGGGAGCTGCGGAAACAAAGATGAGAAGACAATAAACACCAACTATGTTTTCTGCACCAATGTTCCCTTTACAATGAAGATACCAGACTGCTGTAAGACAAGCTATTTAGGAAGCTTTGTGTATGTGGGCACTCTCACGAAGCACAAATCATGGGAGCTTCGTATCTGACCTCACACCCTACAAAACAGGGAGGGGGAAAGAAAGGAACACTGTCAGTCTTTGTTCCCTGACTGAAATGCGGTTCCCTGTGGACCACTGCAACCTGGCTGCACTGAGAAAAAGCCTGAGTAGAGATCCACAATCCTGGAAAGTGGTTAAAACCCAAACACACAGGAGTCTGGATGAAGCCCAGAAACTGCCCTAAAGTTCCTGAACGTCCAATCTCTCATTCACTGGTCCTGTAGCTGCAGCAAGAGAGCCAGAGCTGACAGTGACTGTGGGTCAAGTGCAGCACAGGGGGCACTGCAGGGAGGTTTCACGTTTAGCTGCTCTCCTTACCCAGTGCCTCCCATTACTGCTTTTCACAATGATGACACTTACAGTTTCTTCAGCCAAAAGCCATGAATTTTAAATGGAAGAGATTCGTAGATACATAACCCTATTCCATACTGAGCACACTTGTACCCCTGCACTCGTGTGCGCTACCAGGTAAATCAAACTGCACACCAGCTCTTGCCTTTAGCACCGTTCAAAATCCAGCCCTCAAAACGGGATTCCAAAAAAGCAGGACAGCTTTCCCCTCCTTTTCTCTTGCCCTGAGGTTTCTCCAACCCAAGATGCCTACAGACCACGTTGGTTCTGATAAGCTCTTATTGCACATGAAAACACCACTGAATCTTACAGGAACTTCACCACAGTAAGGGAACTCTGGGCAAAGGAGCTGGGAGAGGCCCCCCAGGACACACACTGATAAACAGACAACCCTTACCCCTCAGCACACACAAAACACCCAGCCCTATCCCCCTTCTCAGCTGATCTAAAAGTTAAATAAGCCCCTTGAAAACTCCTGAATGGTTTAGCTCATTGTTTTTACTCTACTTGCTTATTTAGCCCCCAAAAGTTTCCTCCCACACAGGCTGTCTGCTGCGATCAGTAAAAGCCATTTACTCCTTTTCCTCCCTCAAGACATGTATCTTAATACTTAATGCATTCAAAATGTAAACTACTAACAGGCTGCTTTTCTTTCCATCTGGAGCGCTGTGTTATTTCACTCAGTGCCATACAACTTTTACAAGAGAACTAACATAGAGGGTAAATGCCTACCCTTATGCACAAGAAAAGGAAAGCAAATTTTTTTCTACAGTATCAGCCAGTTTTTTCCCCTCTCTCCCTTGGGCATTTCCATCTTTGCTCTTCTGCTTTGCACATGTCTGACACTGGGAAAGTTAAAACCCAAAGCTATGTACTACAGAAACCTGTTCCTAGAGGGATGCTCAAGATTCTTTATTAGAAAGCTCACCAACTACAGGAATGAGAACACTGAACTAGTGTCTGTGAAAGCTTGGGACTTACGCAGATATTCTTGTGGATGTGGATGCAGTTTGATATTCAGCTTGGCTGGCAATACAAAATAAAAATCATAGCATTCCTTGGCAAGCGCTCATGATTAAGACTCCAAACTGTGAAATTTACTGAAGCAGAAAATGTGAGTCCCGGGTACTGCAGAACCTGAACACGTTCCCTCAAGAGCCTGGTGACAACTTGATTACCCCGTTCCTCAGGAGACACCAACAGTTGCAGCGTAGGCACTGCACACTTAGTACCTCGGTGCAGCAAAATAGCAAAGCATTTCAGGTATATACTATGTAATTAGCTCGTGTCACCCCTATACTTAAACTCTACATTTACAGACAGTTATTTAGTCATGGTAATACCACATAAAAGGCTCCTGCTCCGAAGTTTCAGTGAAAAGGATTTAATCTGTTGTCCAACATCCAACGTGCAATTCTAAACCCTGGGCTACTTCCATTACTGTGCTCTCTGCCTAATGGCAACTATTGACCATGCTCTTTCTGCTCATTAATTATTGAGAAAAAACACATCTACTGTTCCAGCATAGCTCAAAGAAATAGAGTCATATATTTGACAGGAAAGGAAGAAAGGAATTTAGGAGAATAATGGAGGTTTTTGTCAAATTTCTGCTGGTCAGCAAGAGCCAAAAAGTAAAAAAATTATTCCTGTGAGACTCTGAGCAATGGAGAAAGTCAAACGTTGCAGGGCTACGAGCAGAGAATTCAGCACAAAAACTGGAAAAATAGAACTTAGTTCTACCTTTATCAACACGTTTTACTTTCACATAGAGTTCAAAGCAAAAATGAGCAAACTTGAAGAAACCTCATGCTTTTCAAAGACTTTCTACAACGGCGCTTTTAAATATGGGAACAGGAGTAAGAAGTGATGCAAAGCTTGGCTTTCAGGAGAAACTGTAAGAATGGAACATGAAAGAGCACAGACTTCGTGAAACGCAGAGAACTGGCGATGGAGTATTTAAAGGAGAAAAGAAAGACTTTGAAAGGTCCCAAACATGATGAAGAGGTGATACACAGTGATGGTTCCAGAACACTGACTGGGTTAATGGACGCAAGAAGGTTAAGTAGGAATAAACAAGTGACAACTCGATTCTTGAGAGAGAAAACTCAGGAGAATGAGCTCAAGCAAAGGAGAGAGCTCATCCAGGACTGAATATCAAAACAACAAAAAAAGAGGAGGAAAAGGCAGAGTCTGACTGGGTGGCTGAGACAAGATAATGAAATTTAAAGCCAGAAAACAAGTAGGAAAACAGCAGCAGAAGAAAAAAGGAAACAGGAGCTTAGAAGAAACAGAACTGATGCTGCATGGAATGGCACAAGTGGGGAGCATCTATCAGAAATTAGGTCGAAGAGCTGACATCCACCATAAAGCCTTGGAAAAACACAGCTAACCAAGCAAGCTCAGTGCCGAGAACAGCGCGTGCAGTTTCACTGCATACAGAGCCTTTTGCCTGCAAGGAAAACACAAAAATGCCAGCAGAAGATTCTGTGGTAAAGTCAATTAAGAACACTTTCTAGATAATTCTAATTGTTTGCAAGAAGTACGCAGAAATATGCAATATAATAGACTAGAAAACATAGCTTCAAAAAGCCCTACACAACACAGGACTGATGGCAAATTCAAGCAGAAGTTGAAAAAGGAGTTTAGAAAAGGAAATAGAGGTATCTGACACAAATTGTGTGTGTCAACCAATAGTAAGTCTTAACAATAGGATCGTGGAATAAATCAAGCGCGTTAATCATTAATATTGGACAACGAGGCTAACTACAGTCATCATATCAGGTTTGTGTGTGGTTTTTAATTAAGAAATACCTATATCCCCTCTTAGGCATTAAGTCACGTCCCCTTCCGAGATCCAGAAAGGCTCTGGTCTCACACAGGGGCACTGTTCTTGGCCCGTTCTATCAGTGAGCATTGAAAACCTCCGTTATGCCAAGATCAATCCTTCACAGCACATCCCACAGCCTGGGCTGTGTCTGGAAGCAGAACTGGGGTGGTTATCCAGCAAAAAAGGAATCATGAATCAAAGAGAAAGAGCCTGGAAAAGAGGCACTTAACCCAGCAAAGCACAGAGTCTGGCCAGACTTTCTTATTTGGATCATGAAGTATGTGAGTCTTGGGCCATAAATCACATCCCAGCGAGTTAAGTGCTCTATAAACCTGGAACAAAGAAGATATCGCCATTTAATATTATCATGTTCCCTGCATTACCTCTTGCTGGAGATAAAGCCATCTGATAGATGGGTCAGAGCTCATCTGGGCACTTCAAACCCTCACATCAGCTGTATGGTTTGCTACAGGATGTACTGTAGCAGTACTGTACCACGCATACATCCACCACTCCCAGCTGTTCAAAAGGGCCATAAAAATGTATAAAAATATTAAAACATATCAATATATGCTTTCATGGCAGAACTCACTCATAGAAATGGGACTTGGAAATGGACAGGAAGCTGCAGTCTCGATTGGCCTTGATGGTGAAAATGAGGGGTTCCCCAGTCAGGACAGCGAGCTGGCCTACGAGTTCTCCTGGGTGGGTAATGAAGAGACAGGTGTCCTCCTCCGAGTCTATCTTCCGTTGGTACACATGCAGCATCCCCGAGACCACAAAGCAAACATTAACATCCTGGAGAAAAACGGAAAAAGAGCTCAATAAAAGCCCCAAAGATTTTAAAAGCAATTATCACAGTGACAGCACTATCACGACCAATCTGTTTTCCAGAGAGCTCCCTACAGTTCTTGAACAATTAGGTGATAAAATAAGACACAATAGTGAATTATTAAAAGCAGGTTATGAATATTTAAAACTAAGCAGCCACAATATTGAAAAATGTGTTTCTCTTGGTGCGGTTATGAAAAATGAAGGCTGCATCTGGAAGATCTCAGGAAATAACAACAGAATTGCAAATGGAGATAATGGGGTAAACACAGAGCATGATGAGGTAGCAGAGCAGGATACAGCAGCACTGTAACAGAGCTGCCCCTTCTCTCCTTTGTGGCAGCCTGTTTACACAGTATTATTATAAATGAATCTCGTTATATCCTAAATACAATTTGTCATAAACAAATACCACTGGATTTCTATCGTAAGAGGGGGAGGGGGGAATATACTTTGCTGCAACTGAGTGCCATCGCTGACAGCCCGCAGTGCAGGGCATGAAAAAGGGCTGCCCAGACTCCACAGCTCCTGGGGAAGGAGGGAGCTGGTGCTGCTCCACATCTCATGGAGGTACAGAAGAGCTAAAATCAGACAGGTACCAATTTCACAGAGAGCTGGGATTGTCTCACTTCCAGCAGACAGAGCTTGGGAAGCGCTGGGGGGGTTGGATTTCTTTTCTTTATCACAATCAATGTGAATAAATATGCTATGGTGGGGGGTAAAGACTGAGCCAGACTGACATTCTCTGTTCTCAGAGGATGCTCACTCACCTGATCTCCCTGCCTGGACAGCACAGTCCCAGCAGTGACCTGATGCAGCGTCACTTTGCCATTCAGCAACGAGGGATCCTGGAGAAGGAAGGGGCAAGGGGTACAATTTACTTGTCTGTGCACATGTAAAGAACCAAGAGCGTGAGGAAGCATTGAAATAAAACAAGTAAGAACAATAATGACTAAAGACAATGTTGTAAGTACTTGAGACTCTCTACAATATGGTGCATTTATAGTTCTGTACCTAACAAATATTTCTGCCAGGAGAAAAAAAAGTTTAATTTGTTTCAATTGATCAGACTTCAGATTCTTAAGGATTTTATATGCATCAATTTTGTCCCCAGACTTTTCTGAGGGTCTGTAACAAAGAAGACCGGTATCAGCTGGCAGGAAAATCATGAGAGATGAAGTTCTTTTCAAAGGAAGGAGAAACCAGAGGAGACTGCCTACACCACGGAGGAACTGGACAAGATGATCCCACATTTGCTTTATCACAGCCCTGCCTGGTCACACAGCTCAGCAGGGCTGTGCATGCACAGCAGGTTTTCACACACATGGCAGACCAAAAGCTTCCCCAAAGCAATGAATTCTCGTGTGTGCACACACACAGACTGCAGCAGAGGAGGAATTTTTCCTCTCAGCTGATGAGCACAGGGAGGCAGGGTCTTTCCAAAAACCTGCCCTCAGTTTGGACTCAACCCTAAATCCTCACAATGCAAGGAGCTGGTCTGGTTAAGTGCAGAAGATTCCTTCCCAGCTCCAAAGCTGTCACCACCACAACCCTGAGCACGTAACACAGGCAACCAGCAGGCGTGGAGAGAATTTTCTTTCATCTCAAATAACTGCCCGTACAATATGGTGTCCCCTGTGCAGTCAGCACCAAACCCTAACGCCTCAGGCCACCTTCACATCAGCAAAACTTCCACCCAAACCAGCAAAGCCTTCAAAAATCTCAACATTATCATCAACCAAAGGGGTAGGGGCAAAACCGTAGGTTCAATTGCATGATTCTTGCTTTATTCTGAAGAGTGACAGCGCAGTCCTGGCGTCTCACAGCTTAACCTCTGCCAGGCAGAGCTGGACACGACTGGGTCCTGTCCTTGGCCACAGAGGAAGAGCAGCTGACAGCGAGAGAGCTGCATGCACGGCAGGGTGGGATTCAGTGCAGGCAGCACAGCAGGATCTGCTCACAGTCATTCACCTTATGGCAGCAGGAAAACAACAAAGCAAGCACGTGAAATAACCGGAATTATTCTTCACACCTACAGCTGATAAAAAGAACAGATTTTAATCAAAAAATATTTTATTTTTTTGAAGCCAATCTGTTCACGGGAACACATCCAGTGCAAAGAACCTGACAGGCACCTGTCAAAATATTTCAGTTCAGCAGTATCAACTCAACTAATTTTGATGATGGTTTTCTATATTTATACATTTATGGTTGTACAGTATTACCTATACTTCAAGGAAAAGTTTTAAAGTAGCTCACAGTAAGGGAATAAAAGCTTCCTAATGAGCTCTACTTATCAAGGGCCTTTTTGGGCTGCGTTAGTGCTAAGAAAAATTGTTGCAAAGATTTTCTTCATGTCTAAGACTACTTCAGGATTGGAATAGACTGCACACGGAGCTGTGCAGTCCTCAGCACTGGAGATCTTTAAGAACAGCTTAGACAAAAACCTGCCAGAAATGACTTAGCAATATTTGATTCTGCCTTGGGCATGAAAAGAGACAGAACAACCTCCAGTCTTTGAATTTCTACTTTTCTGTGCAATTACTGCCCTGATTAAACAACAAAGGAGTTGACAAACAAGATCACAGACAAGGTCCATCCTGTATCTTCTCTTTTGAATGGCCAGGACCAGCAAACCCAAATTCAGCATTGAATAGTTACAGGGTTTGAGCTAAATAACTGCACCTCCAGCCACTAGTTTTTAGGAAAAGCAGTCACTGGCATAACAACATCCATTTCACAGCAAGTTTCCTTCTGTTACTGTAACAGATAATAAATTAACAGAGGTTTATGACGCAAAAGTGAAAGCTCAAACGACTTATAAACAAAAACAGGGTTGGGGACGAGTGGCTGGAGCTGCC